AGATCTTTCACAATTTTTTACCCGAACAAATACATTTGAAAGGAGAATAGGATGTTGATATTTCAGAAATATCGTACCCTTCATTGTAACAAAACGTGGAAAATTTTTTATTTTTGAGAAAAAAAAATAAAGATTAAACCGATCCATATTGAACCAGGATTGTATCCAAGTTTTGTTGATATAGTTGTAGCCAGGAACAAAAAAATTCGAGAACGTCTAGGTGCTCAAACTGTTGAATATAACAGATCATATGTATCAGTAGATGAAATTACACAAAAGATAGCCGTTCCTTTAACTGAGGATCAATCATTGTTTGTTTTTCACAGGTCTGATTCAAATCAAAATTTTGGTTGTGATTTAAAACAAAATCAAATAGGGGTTATAATGAATGGGAAAAGATTGCATTATCCTCAGTGTTCTTACGAGACTAAAACAGTACATTCCTTTATGATATATAGGGATATTATAGAATATAACGAACTCGTTGATACAAGAACTCCTTCATTGCGTTGTTTTCCATTCATCTCCAAAGCGAAAAAGTGGACATCTATATTAAAGGACAGTGCATGATATATCAGCCCTTTAAAATATAACAGTTTATAAAAATTGTTAAAACATTCTTTCCATAGCATCAAGGTAGAGCTAAGAGTTAGTACAGGTGAAAAAAAAAATCCTTTTGTCTTTGTAGGAATTACACGCGTTGTTTTCTTGTTCCGCATGATTTCGAATAATCATTTTTGATTTCTACTTCATAGGAAATGGTTGCTCAAACTTCAGCTGACTTCCTGTTTTTTGGGGACATGCAATACAACGTGGAAGAGGTTTTGATGCTCTTGCGCAAAGTCAAAGGAGAACTGCAATCCATTTTGTTTTAAAATAATAGTCCAAGCTGCGGGAAGAATTAGAGCAGATTTGTATTAAATCGCCGCTCAACGTATTGGGGAAGTTTTTAGCGGACGCAAAAAGCTGAAAACCTTTGCAAAAGTTGTGAGAGCAAAAGCAGTTTGGAAACAATTGAGAGGTAGAAAAAGAAATCCAAGCGTATAACTAGTAGAACTAGATCCATTTCTCGGAAAAGTAGGTCAAAAAACAGTCGCTCTCGCAAAGAAAATTTTTTAAAAATATGAGATGAGCTAAAATGAAAATGGCGATTTTTGGCACGGGCGTTTATAATTTCTTCCTGGGAGACTTGATAAACTCATAGTTTTAGAAACAACAACTTCATCCTACACGCAAGAAGTATTCCCCAGTACTTCTCTAGATGAAAGCAGTATTGAGTTTGAATTTGAAACGGATGGTAATCTCTATTTGAATATGCGTGATATCCATCTTAGTTTAAAGCCTCAATTATTCAGAGGAAAGTTGTTTGGCGCTTTCAAGAGAAAAAAGCAGAACATAAAGCAAAGTCAAAGGATGTTTCAGATGAGGAACTAGAACATAACTTGATTTTTTAAACAATCTAATACATTCTCTATTCTCCAATTGAGAAACTTATCTTAACAATACTAAGGTTTTCAACGCCAATGGACTATATATCGTCATTAAGTACAAACATGGGAAAAATTGAATTCGTCGGCAGTGAGTATTAAAGGAAAACTTGCTTGTCTTGGATACAGTTTTGAAGAATTTCTTGATAGTTTTCATATGCATCCGTTCACTGATAGAGCAAAGTCTCTAGGAACAGGGACAATTTTTTCAATCTATGGGAGGCTTGTTTTTGATTAGCTTACTTGCAAAAAACAGTTGTTTTCGAACACCAAAGTTCGAATTAAACTAATTCGAGCAAGACCTAATTTTTACATGCTGTCTGATAATCCAAATTTCAGTCTAAAAATTGTTGATTTTTTGCTGTTGACTAGAATAATTTTAGTTGCTGATCCTAATCATCAATATTTGCATATTTGCAATGGAAATTCGAAAGACAAGCTGCTCTATACGATTACAGCAAAACTATAGCAAGAAACTTTATCATTGTATCGCGTGAAAACCAAATCATGCAGGAAAATATATGCAATAACGCTCCAATAAGAAGAATAGCAGTTGTAATGAATACAAATTCAGCTGTTGCTGGATCTTTTCATTTATCAATAATTTCATTTGAGAGAGCTTAGAATTATTCGGGGTAGAAGAGCAATTGTTTCATTAGATACAATTTCTTCTTGTCGTCTCTGTGTTACAACAATGAAAACAATGCAGTTTAACAAAGAATTTCTAGCTCTTCCTATGGAAGATTTTCGAAGTCATACTATTCTTGTTTTTGACTTGACCTCACTACAAAATGCTGCTGAACAGTTGCATTATCCAAAACTTAGTGAAGAAAGCTTGAGATTAGAAACATTTTCCAATTTCCTTTGGAGCAACTAACAGGAGTGATAGTCCTGGGAGAAAGATTATACGTTCAAACTGACATAATCGGAAAAATCGCTAAAATTGGTTATTTTTTTTCAGGTTCCTATAAAAAGATTGTAACTTTTTGGGACTTTTAATCGTTAATGTCTCTGTTCTATCTATTTTGTTCTTCTTCAGACATAAATCTCCAGAAAAAGTAGACAATGAATGTAGTTCACTTGAAAACCTGATAAATTATTTCAACCTAGACTGTAAAGTAGTAGCCAATAACATTTTTCCAGTACAAAAGACTTGTTTATGGGACTTTGTTGATTCATTACCCAAATGCGAGTAAGTCATCAATCTTACTTTTTTTATTCTGAATTGTACTATCATACGAACCATTTCTTTCTTTTTGGATGTAAATCAGCTAGCAATTGCAAAGTTTGATACATTTCACTTGTACAAACTATTGAAAGAGTTCCTGAGCTCAGGTTCAATACATGGGATCTTACCCCTATGATAAAGTACCTCAACTAACAAGACTTTTTTGCAATCATCAACTCAGCTCCAACCAAAAATAGAGGAGAACACTGGATTATGATAGCTCGATGGGACAAAGCCTAATACTTTGCTGATTCTATGGGTCGGAAAAGAACAACTTATTTCTCTCTAAAAAAGATTATTGGCGAATGTTTCCCAGAGAACTACAAAAAATTGATAATTTTTGTGGACTCTACGCAGTTTATTCAGTATTTCTTCAATTTTAAATTCTACCAGAGAAACTTGACTAATATTCATGATGTCCATATTTTGGATTTCTTAAGCAAATTTTCGTAATTATGTACTTTTTTATTTGTTAGTGTTAATTATTGCAGTAAATTAACTATACGATGCAGTGATTTTTTAACTTTCTTCGTAATTTAATTTCTTGTCTCAAAGTACTTGATTTTTCCAAATTTCGGCAGATTTCATCTAGGTCAAGCATAAGTAGTCCATATAAAAGAGTCTCAACTCAACTTAGAATGAATATAATCATGTTTTGAAAGTTCTTAGAAAAAAAAATTCAGTTTTTTTTGATAAAAAATATTATCGTTGATTTAACATGAATCAAAAAACTAATAACAAGACCTTCATTCCATAATCCACGCGTAATTATCCATTGATATTCACCAATTAAATAACGCGCCCCATTATTTTTGCGAATAACCAGAGAAAAACAGAAAAAATATCATTTTTCTTACCATTCTTTTACCATTACACAAACCATGAAACCTTACCATTTCTATTTCCTATCTTAATACATTTTCATACCCAATGTTAACACATAGCTTGGTGACCCAATGTTCTGTTTCCTATCTCAAAACATTTGGATCACCAGGGACCTCCCCCCACCCCCCCCCCCCCTTCTTCAGCCCCAAAATCATGTACTCTTGGTGATCTGCTTCTTCAGGTCATTGTGGCCGAATGGCACAATTTGCGACTTAGTTTGGAAAAAAAGAGAGTTCATACTATAACACAAGCTATGCTTGTGTAGAAAGTGATAGAGAAAAATACACAACAAAAATTGCAATGAACGAGAAACAGCTGAAAACCTGTAGCTTTTTTTTTCTAATAACCCTAGTCCTGCAAATAGTTCTGCAAATGTTTAGTTTTCAACTGAGTATATGACGAATGCATCTGCCATAAACAAGTTTCATGGAGAAACACTAAGACTCTTCCTAATATTGTGATTGGAAACTTGAACCTCTGCCATCCAACTTTTTCAAAATTCTCCTAATGTTTATTGAATTGAAGTTTGGTCAGCCCACCGCTTAGTGCAAACTACTGAATTCTAAATGGTAACAAATTCTAACCTAGAACTGATTTAGCTTCCTTGTTTCTTTTTAATCATTTAGAAGTGGACGAAGCCTGTGAACTGGAAATTGAATATGAGGGGCGAAAGTTCCAAGGACTTAAGCTCGAATTGCGAAATCAAAAAGCTATTTTTCTCGCACCTGCGAACAATGCCTATCAAAGCGACACACTTTAATGATAGACATTTTTTGCATACACCCAACTAATATCGCGAAAGCACTCGTTTACCAAAAAACTGATGAAAGTGTGAGGAGGTTTGTGTGTTGTGGATAAGAAAAAGAGTAGAAAAATAATCCAAAACTATCAGCTTTGTTCTTCAGAGTGGAAATCGCATTGAAGGAGCTTATTAAAGGCAGTTTCAAAAGCTCATTTAAGTTCTAGTGCAACAAATTCAAGTTCAATGAGATGACAGAGAAACTATGTTTTATGTTATGAATAATTTTTAGCACCATTGTTCCGATTTTCGAAAGTGTACGGATTTTATGCAATTCTATTTAAACTGGGGCTGTTTTTTTTTTTACTATTTCGACGATACATATTTTTGTACCTTAAAAAAGATTTGTTGTCTGGAGCTCAAATGTACATAAATATCTGTGATTCTTATTCGTTAATTTATATGGTTTGGAAAATTGCTATTTTGGCCAATTTTGGATAATTGTTCTTCTCATTTTTCGATTCTTTTTATCAATTTTTCAACAAAAAACTTCAATAGGAACATTCGCCCTGATATACGAGCAGTCTTGTTAAGATGTAGAAGTGTTTTGACCGAACAGAAAAAACCAATAGCTAACCTTTCGAGAACATCTATAAGTATGTGAAGTCAAATATTTATTAAAAGAGTTTAAAGCACAAAAACTTTATACAATAATTTCATTTTTAAGCTCAAATTCTGCATTGATTGATTATGATCACAACCAATAAGCACTGGAGAAATTCACTGGTCATTCTTCTCTAAAAATTGAAATTATAGTTAGTATCAAATAAACCAAACTCTTAAGCCGTCAGCAGCGAGTGTCTAAAAATGGGAGCTTCCTGGCATTGTCATTCCGAATACAGAAGGATATTGGCGCAGCCAGGGTGTGTTTCTTCTGAAACCAAACTGTCCGTTGAAGCCTGGAACGTCCTTGACATCTGACATGAAGGCCGAGTGACCAGTGTATGAGTCGGTGGAGTGACCCATCCCGTTTTTGTTCCTCAGTGACAGGTACCGGAAGCCGAGACCCTTCTCGTGGAAATTGTCCACGCTTTTACCCGCAATCGACTCTCCGAGGTACTCCACGTTGCCTTCGATTCTCTGATGACTTCCGAGTAAAACCTTCTCGATGTCGTGGTACTGGAAATATCGTCGCACTGACGGGTCTTTTTGCGAGTTGTAAGGCGGAATAGCGGGACCCAGTTTAGGGTTAGCTTTTGAATAGTCGTTTGATATCTGGGAAAGCGCGATGCAGTCTAAAACGAATCCCCGCTCTCGGTTATTTTGGTCTTCCTCCGTTCGACCCGGTGGTACGTACTGTCTGCGATAATTATATTTGTATTCGCGTTTTGTCGGTTTTTGCTTCTCGGTTTTTTCAGAATTCTCGGAGTCTTTTTTGTTCTTGGATGCCTCGTTTTCATCTTTCTTCTTTTCCGGTTCTTTCCGGGCCGACATTTTTATAAGCACGCAAAAAACTAACTTTCTGAATCAGGTAATATAACGTGCAATTTTTATATAACGTGCGAAAAATAATAACGTGAACCAATTATAATAAAAGCAGCTAATATCAAATGTTTGAACAACTGTTGGTATTCAAGCTAATTTAAAGTTGCCAAGAGAAACTTTCTAGCTTTAAATTACTCTTTTGATAAAAATGTGCTTGATATAAATTTGATTCTCTAGATTAAAATGTACAAAGCGCGCAAAACGTTTAACTTGATTTAGTGAAGAATCGTTTCAGTGATTTTTTAACCTGATGTTTGTTTATTATTTACACAACGCTGGTTGCAGTAAACAAATACACTTGAGCTACGCATAATAATTTTAATGGTTTCAACAAACCGGCAAATCAGGAAGGAGCTGTTTAGCGGATTTGATTTCAGATGAATTAAGACCATTTATCCACGAGGAAAAAAAATCAACATACAAGCTGTTCAGCTCCTTCCTGCTTGAGAACTAAAATCAAATTTTGGGTTCTTATTACTGGACCGGGTGAAGTTGCTTCACCCTAAAAAACTGACAGTGAACCATGAAGTGTTACCTGTATCCAAACTGAAACAAGGATAGCCGGTTACTGCGCAAGAAGCACAGAATGTTCCGACCATAGTCTAAAAAAAAACAAAGTTTTTTTTTCAAATTATTGTCGTTTTTTTAGCGTGGTGTGAAAAAAAAGAGCTGAAGAAAAAACTGAGGACTAGGTACATTCGCAGCTAAACTAAAAGAAGCAAATTTAAAAAAAAATGTAGAAAAACTACTGGAAAAACGAAAAAAATCAAAAAAAAAAGTGTTTGTAATTTTTTTAATTTTTGAAAATTTTTATTGCACAACGCGCTAAAAACATTAAACTAACATCAAACAAGTAAAACTAAGTTTTTATGTTTTAAATCAATCTATTGTAAGCTTTTAAGCAATTAAAACAAGACTGCTCGATCGCTTTATTCGCTCGAAGTAAGAAGGAAAATCAAAAATTCGAACCTCGATATTCTTTTGGAAGTTTTTTAATGTTGTTCGAATTACGACTGTAAGGGCTTCAATATGATATATCACTCAACCCAGTGCGATGAAATAACCTTGGTACCTGATTTTGATTCGAGAACAAAAAAAAAACAAAAACAGACCCGAATATAGAGTTCATCCCCATTTTCAACGGTTGGAACAACACGGATATTCGGTTGATGTCCAAATAGCACAGAAGGCTCCAATAGCTCGAATTTCTAAAACCAAATAAAAAACTTTTAAAGTGGAAAAGGAAAAGAGCCGATAAAATCCGTTAAAATAACTTGTAAATCAAATCAGTTACAAAGACCAGAAAAATTAGATTGGAAATTCAGTCTGGCCAGATAAAAACTTAAAAAACTCATCCAGTCCAAAAACGTGGAAAACAGCCAACTAAATTAACCAATTGACCACAAATAGTTTGAGAAGTATTCCTGTTGTACAAAAACCTGTTCCTGTTCTTGTTAAAAAAAATTTGAAATTATGAACTCAAATGTTGAAGTGGTAAGTGTAGAATAGAAAAAAAAATAGTTGTTAACTTGAATTGTAAGCAACTGTTAGGCATCAAATCGAAATCTTACTGCACCGTTCTATTTCAGATCATAACAGATGTTAGAGATCGCAAGTCCTTACAGCAGGTCTCCAGACAGAAGATACAAATTGATAGCACTTACATAAACTCAAACTGGTCCCTATCTCATTCGGGCAACCACAAATAAATTTTCAATCGTAGATATAAAATTTATCAGCACTCATTCTTAAGTACAGTTTAAGTAATTCAATTTTAGTTTAAATTGAGTATTCAGGCATACTTGCCAAACCTCTCTTTAAGAATGTTCTTTCGTCATCAGTTTTTTTTCCGTCATCATTTACTTATGTTATATTCGGTGAATCATTACTCCCCACATTTTGTCGACTCCTCTCCGCTGTCGCCTCGATTTTCTCGTTGCTTCCTCACCTTGTTTGCTCCGCCCGCTGTAATTTTTGCCGTTTCGTTCGTTTCGACTGCCCAATCACTATCCTCCTCCTCGTCGCTTTCGTCCTCGCTGTATTCGACTATTCGTTGTTTCTTTGGTATTTTCGCTCGTCCCATATCTTCATCTTCGCTATACTCAGCGATTTGCTTGCTTTTTGATTTATTCGCTTTTTCCATTTCGAATTGCTCCTTATCGACTTTGCGTTTGCATTTTGTGGGCTTACTTTGGACCCAGGGTGCTCTTTGTACTCTCGCTAGGACCTGGGGTGCATGCTTCGCTCCTTGTCTCAATTTGGCTTTCTTCAGCCGCCGATCTAAATGAAACACCACTTCGCCTTAGTAACGAACCTTTTTCCATTTTCACCGTGTGTTTAGTTAATTTTTCAATTTTTAAGGGTAAACGTTTACACCTTCTCGGGTCCTTGGGGTCCGTTTTCCCCGTCTTTTGATATACTGTTGTAGTACTAGTTTTATGCCTTTTGAGCCATTCTGGTGCCTCGGGTAACACTTGAGCTGTCTTGGGATCCACTACACTGCTGTTGCCTTGGGTGCGTCCGTCCGTCTCAATTAACTCCTGCTCATCTAAAACCGTTGGGTTTTTTCTGTTTTCCGGGGCGTACACTAGATCGCTCTGCTTCTCCCAATCTAGGATTAGCTCCACACTAGGGAAATTATTCGTTTTGTCTAAACAAGATAACTTCTGATTAATAACAGTTTTCCAATTTAGATTTTTCAATGAAGGTTTTTTCGTCAAATTTCCTAGAGCCGTATTCGCTTCTCTTCCATGATAAGCCTCGAATGGCGTTAGCTTAGTCTTAGAATGAGGTACAAAACGGAGCGCACTTAGCGCACGAGATATCATTAACCCAAACTTATAGTTTCGATTTTCCTGAAGGTATGTTAGGACGTAATTTTTTATCGACCCGATTGTCCGTTCGACCATTCCCGTTGTGCGATGGTCCTTAACCGGAGATTTTATGAGTTCAATGCCTTCGTAATTACAGAAGTTTTGAATTTCCTTCGAGAAAAATCCCGTTGCCTGATCCATATGCAATTTCCTTGGGTGTCCATGAGTATTGATGTACTTCCTTAGGAACTTTAATACATTTTTAGACTTGTTACTTGAACAGACATAAGCCGACGGCCAATGCGAAAAAGTATCCACTGCTACTAGTACATATTTCCTTCTACCGCTTACATAATTGACTGGACCCCAGAAATCTAATTGAACAAAGTCATTGGGTTCCTTAGGCACATACGTGTCCCCCGTATCATTTTTTGGAATATCTGGTTTAAGATTTTTACCTGCTTCTACGCAACTTTTGCAGTACTTCACTGTAGCGGCAATGTTTCTGTGCATTATTGGAATCTATACATCCTTTGCGGCTGCAAACATTTTATCGCGTCTGTGGTGGTTAAAGTGCAAACGATTGAGTACTGCTGACGACATATCCTTCGGTATGGCCAGCCGGCCATCCATCCAAAGGCAATTTTCCCGTACGGCAAAGTCATTGTAATGTTGGGCGTAATATTGCCCAAATCTTGTGACGATCTCCTTGGCTTTAGAGTTCTTGTCTCTGATTGCATCGCGGATTGTTTTCAGTATCGGGTCCTTTTCCAGATTGGCTTCTACTATTTTCAAACTCAGGATCTCAGGGTAATCAATCTTTTTAACTACTTTACTGTCGATGGGGACTATTGTGTAAATCCATTTATCATTCTGCACGAGTGGGTAAGATAATCCAGGAAACTGATGGGGAAATGAAATAATGGTATTTAACTTTTTCGAATTTGTTTGTTTTGGAATAATTTTTTCTGGCGGTAATAATTCAAACTCACACTAGGCGGTTGGTTTAATCGATTTAGCACAACATTAAGGTTCACATCTCCGGAATGGGTTGAAGTATTTACAACAGCGAATATTCGTGGGTCGCTCTTTTCAGAGGATTTGATCAATGATAAACTTATTAAATTTCTATTTTGGGTAGTACATCTTGAATTTACGTACTGAGAACAACTTCTGATTTTCTCACTTCGGTATTTACATATTTCCGCCGGTATGCAAATATCTCGATTCTTATTGGTTAACCGCCGGTTGCATGTAGACACGTCCTCTAGTGAGCGCATGTGCTCACTGTGAATATTTACATATTCAGCTTGTCTTTTATTTCCATTGCATACGACTGTTTTCGTTATTGCGAAACATGACCGATCGCCCTCTACCGTCGGTTTTGTCCTAATTTTATTCTTTTCTTGACTCCTAGGCCTCATTTGATCCTTAGGTTTCAATGCTTCGTTTATCATTTTTATTTTTGCTATACTGTACAACTTTCATCATAGTGACTGGTCTCGGGTGCCTCTGCGGATGGAAACCGAGATAAAAAGTCTGCCAATCCCATTTGTGACCCCTGTCTATGTTCGACCTTAAAATCGTAAGGTACTAACTGGTCGTTCCATCGAGTTAATCGGCTAAAAAATGTTTTCTTTGCTTTCGGAGAGGAACTAACAATGTAACCAACGCTTTGTGATCCGACATAACTGTGAAATACCGACCATATATATAGTTCCGAAAAAGTTCAGTGGCCCACACTACCGCGAGTAGTTCTAATTCATTTGTAGAATAATTTTTCTCGGCCGGATTGAGGTACCTTGAAGCGAACGAAATCGGGTGTCACCCGGAGGCACTGTACTGTTTTAACACGGCCCCTAGGCCATCATGACTTGCATCGCAGAAAATCCTCGTTTCACGGTGAATATCCAAATGCCTTAGTTCAACAATGTTTTTCACCAGCGTTTTTAGTTGTTGAAACGCATTTTCCCAATTAGGCGTCCAGACAAAAATGTTATTCTGAATTAGTAATGGTCTTAACGGTGCGCTCACTTCCGCAAGTTTTGGCAAAAACTTATGCAAACTGTGCATTGAACCCATTAGTGATTTTAATTGTTTCCGAGATCTTGGGGTTTTCAGATCTTCCACCGCTTGTGTTTTCCGGACTAACAGCGCGATACCGCTTTCCCCAATTCAATATCCTAGCCACTCACATTCGGTTTTTGCAAATTCACATTTTCGTAATTTCAATGAAACATTAGAAACGTCCAACTTTTTTAATATATTCTCTACTAACGCAATATGCTCTACTTTAGTTCCTTTAGAAGCAATTAGAATATCATCGATGAAAGCATTTGCCTGAGGGAAGTCCTTAAGTAAATTATCAATCTCTTTTTGGAATTCCGCTGGCATCGACGTGAGCCCGTAAAACCCGTTTTTGAACGATAAGTTCCTGTCA